TATAAATCGTTAATGATCCCTCGATATATTAGGTATTTCCTACAGACGAACATGAAATAACAGAATCAAAGGGAAACATCTAATTAAAAGATTCTCTAACGAGATGAACCTAATCTTTGATCAGAGATGATCATTAGATAAATTTAAACAATTATTTCTTTGTCTTGAGACAGATAGCAAAAAAGTGGATCGTTTTGGTCGCTATCGGAGTGAGATTAAATATAAAGGGCATTCACCGTCCCCCGGATTATATATCTGACCACGGGATCAGAAATTCTTTTCTCTTAGTGAATAAACGGGCAATGCGTCCCTGAGGAATCCTTAAAGCACCCCACGAGCCTTTTCGGACGACGATAAATTGTCTTTTCACGGCTGAAGGGGGATAAAATGCCGACCCGGATGCGTGTAATGCGCCTCTTGGCACGTCCATAGGGGAAACCAGTCGCAATTAACAAATTAAGTACGACAGAATCGAGGATTTAAGTAGCAGCAAGTTTATACTATCGTCTTATAAATTGTAACATCATTCTCACTTGTTGGAGGCTGTTCTCACAGCGGATCCGTCTTACTTTGCAACCTTGCGTTTAATATGTGATTACAGAGTTTCATAAGTAGACTGCGGATTTTATGCGTTTATCAAAGAACTGAGTATGCTTGAAAATATGAAACCTGCATGCGGTACATGCAAGTACATAAACGCTGTGTGCGATGATTAAAATTGTAATTCGAAATACATTTTCTTAGCTGGTTATCTTAAACCTGTTTTGCACTAAAATCTCTTGTCTATTCATGAGTTTATACGTTTTACTCGTAAATTGTAGGAAATTTATTGGAGTATCTTTGTCTCAAATGCGTTTAGTCTGATTAGTGCATGAATGATTCGAACCGAGTATTGCCTCCTGGCACTTTCCTCTCGTATCGATGGCTCAGCGGATGAGATCTCTGAGCAATATCGCTAAAAAGATTTTGTAGCAGGGCTTCTGCCATTGCATCGAGCGTGGAAACTGCTGTTTCTACCCTGCGGTCATTTTTCATCTAACACGCGAGATCTCGGTAACGGGAAATGATACAACTTTTAGGGGCTGATTGCAAAGGGGAAGCTTTCGCGTTGGAATTCGGTGTAAAACGAATCGTGAAAGGAATTTATTAAACCTCGTGGAGTTGTTTGAATTTGACAGATCTTCGGAGAAAGGAGCGATACTTTACTGTCTGATATCAGAATATAAAAATATTTCTGGCCGAATGAAATCCAAGTATGAATAAAACCAAAGGTTTCAGATGAACCTATCGTCGTACGATCTTTTTATAGCGGCTAAAAAATTGGCAATTTGGTGTTCCCTGAGTTTTACACGCGATCGTATCTTAAAAACGAGAATTGTTCGTCGAACTACAATTATTAACGATATTCGGTGCGTTCTCAAGTATTATAACTTCATTTATCCGATCCAATTTCGCGGACTCTGTACCGCACGAAGCTTACCGCGGCTTAACACGATAAAAAAACGAATTCGACTGATACAGCTAAATGACTTCTGGCGAAAAGGTTCAAGCAACCTTTTGGCGGGTGCGACGCCGCGCTGGGACTGAATAGCAATCGATACATAAAAGTAGGATTACCGGTACCTATCCTCGTATATCTTCGGACTTCTACCACCCCGGATCTCGTTTCTATTCGAAGTTAAAATGTAATTTTAAATCGAATTAGCTTCCGCAGCTATGATTCCCTGTTTGGATTTTAACATCGCCCACTCTGTACAGCCGAGATCAATTCATCCTCTGCATTCCATTTGTAAATCTTTATATTAAAGTCAACTAAATTCTCGTAAAAAAGTACTCTAACATACTGAAACGACGTGCTTTCACTTAAACCACCGGGAATGAACGTAGATGTTTCGCCGTGGAACGTGAATATAAAAACAGACCGCCGCGATTATTACAGCCTCATGTTAGTACAATTTTAAAATTGCTGCTCGGAGCTCGTTTGACGCCACGGCGACCAACCGTTCTTAAAAAGAGAATTTTATAACTGAATCGCCGTGTTATTTCATTTTGCAAAAAATAAACGTGTTTGACAAGACGCGAGGAATTTTCGTGAAAGCAAATTTCTATGGCACGTCGAAATCGAGTTGACTCTTTAGTTCTTTCTGGCGTTTTGCAAAAATTGAATGAACTATTAATTAATTTAACGTTTTTAAAAACCGACGTCCAGTTAATCGACGTTCTATTTCTTTTCATTAACGATAGAACAGATTAATCTCAGGTATTTCTGTGATATTCCTTCGATTCGATTTAAGTCGATGCTGAAAGCGTTTCCTAATTTCGATTGAAGCACTTGAACGCTTCCTGGCACGTGTTACGCTTCAAACCGGTGCTTCTCGCGGAACGAGTTCATTCCAGTCACGAATCAGCCACGCGAGAAACGAACGCGGCCAAAGTTCCCCGTCCGAGTCTCGATTAATCAGGCCTACGTCGTTCCTATTTTCCTGTCAGTTTCGCAGTTACGTCCGGGTTCGTATGCAACCCAAGTTAAAGATTGCCATAATCAAAACGAAGAATAAGAGAACGTTTTATTTTGTCTCGAATAATTTTCATTATAAGCCATGGANATTTAATGTAAATCTCCCACTATTCCTGTTTACTATTTATTCCCATAATCTCGTACGTCATCTTAAAATGAGAGAAATAAATAAGCAAATGAGTAAACATTGGGACATTTATCTCGACGATAAATTAAAATTAGAGTACAAATCCCAGAGAAAATGTATGAATATGAATACACGTAAAGGTCCATACAACGAAGCACTGATTTAATTAATTATCGATGGATTTTCATCTAATCGGTACGCGTTGTGCAGACTTCAAATATAATTCCATGTGTTTATGTTCACGTTTTAAATAGGAACGACTTCGTAGCGACGTAAATGGTTGGCCGCAGCGGAGAGCCAAGTTGAACGCGATGTAAATTCGGTCTGACCGCATGCAATTATACCGCGAACAACCACCTCGCGCTACCTGCTTACATGACCGAATAAACTGACTGAGACTCGTGGGAATAATCCCTGACCAGGGTAATAACCAGCTTTGTTTACTGCTCCTCTACATTAAAATGCCACCGATGCATAACCGAGTCTATTTAGAAACTGCATGCATACATACTTAGACGTATGTAAACGTAGTTACAGGGAAATCAAAAGTGTTTTAACCAAAATTTCGTTCAGCACATGATCGTCTGTTTACTTTCAAACCACGTGATTTTAAGAGAAATCAAAAGTTGCACAGAGATAGTAAATATATGTATAGTCCTAAATTATGCCACATAGAAGAAAAGTGTATATGACCTTTTTTACAGGAAATAGCAGTACCTACAATTTTTATTTGAAATATTTTTCGAAATTACGCGAAAAGAATTTTCACTTTTTCCAAGATTTTTTTAAGGGGGTACAGAATGTCGAACTTAAGAGTCGTTGAATCTAATTCTAGTTGGAGTTCAACACATTAGATTTCGTTTCCATTCTCATGGTCATCGTTTCCTCGACGATTACCTTTCTGAAATGATTTCTGTACGCAAAACCAGTTGACTTCGGTGAGCCACGTGGTTTCTTCGTCAACTTCCTCTTACCAGCCGGTTTTTCTTTGGTCCTCGTGTGCCCTAGTCGCGGTCTTCCGCTATAACGGTCAGATATCGACCCAGCCGACTCTATAAATAGACACGGCGGGTCGTCGACGGGTACGTATTCAGTATTTCGCTACGAACTACTTTACGTGGGCCCGTCCGCGTGCACCCAAACTGCCGCGCCGCGGAGGATCGTGACAAGCAGGCGTTACGATATTCGTGTCGGCATAGTTAAGAGCGCGAGTGCTTTCGCGGGGTGGCTGCTCCCTTTTACACGTCTTCCTACGTGCTATACATCAATGCAGATTCACGAAAGAAGGAAGAAACATCCTACTTTTTCATACGTTCTTTTTATACCGATGGTTACACAAATACTTTGTATAAAAAAATATTTAAATATTGGAATTATGTGCCCCGTTGTTCGTTCTAAATAAATATTAATTTTTATGATTTTAAAAAGCTCTTATGAGAAACAAACGCAATTTATACTATGCATAATATGAAACACTTGACAATTAAATACACATAAGTGTACATATATGTAT